CCCGACATGCAAGATTTTTTATGGGGGTGGGATACATATTTAGTAATTTATTACTAACCCCTCGTTTTGCTGCCCTTTTAGCTTTTGACTAGTTTATATAAAGAAAGGCGTTTTTTAATGAATTTGGTTTTTAACATGGTGCAGGACCTTGTTGATCGAATATTAGCTATTCTCTCTGATGATCGTGGTAAAGATTTATGTCCACCCTTTAGCAATTAAGCCCTATGATGCATGATAAATACGTCACAAACTGTGGGTGTTATGTATTTTGTAAATCTATACATGCCAAGTGGAATAGAAAAGTTAGAATAGGAATTACGGTAATAGTTACCGTAATTCCTATTCTAACTTATCTATTTCTAACTTTTCTATTCCAACTATATCTGTACATGTATATGTCCATGGTGATAGTACTAATTTCTACTCTGATTCGTATGCCTCAAAATTCTGCACAATCCAATCGAAAAACCTGTAGTCACAATTCGATTACTATAACTGTGTCAGTCCAATGCATGATTCTCATCTTATGTTATATCTTTTATTTTTATATAAGCTGAACAACTATTAATTGTTGCTCATCAAGTATTTGCTGATGCCTTAGAAAGCCTCTTTTTTCGGATGGCGTCACTTCCTTGGCCGTCCAAACCTCTCTTCCCGAATGGTCTTAGCTCCATTTTCATGAAAACTGCCTGAACAAATTGCATTCAGAATTTCATCAACCTCAATTAGCATTATTCTAGTGCATAGTGAATCACATATCTCATTAATTTATTTATCCAAGAAGATATATAAATAAAAAATAAAGATGATGCAACACGGGAGAGAGAAGGAGACGAGAGTGAAGAAGAGAGAAGTCAGGAGGGGAGGGAGAGAAGGAGGAGGAGGAGGAGGAGGAGGAGGAGGAGGAGAAGGAGGAGAGAATTTTGGGGAAGAAGATTTCAATACATCTCAATATTGTTGAGAGAGAAGAAGAAGAAGAATTTTGGGGAAGAAGATTTCAATACATCTCAGTATTGAGTAATCAACTACTAGTGTTTTCAATTCAAAAACACTATTTCTACATATGTCAAGAAAATCAAGTAAAAATAGATTGCAATCTCTTGCCTAAAGTAAATGTCTATGCTTGGTGAATCTTCAATTAGGTCTCCATTAGAACCTCCATCAAATATTGTTAAGTAAAAAGCAAATCTAACTTTTTATTTTGATTAAAAAAGTAAGTTCCTACTGAAATAGAGAGGATTAGGTGATGTGGGATTAATGTTCTAATTAATGAGTAGGTCTAATTGATCAATCAGGGCCCACTCTTCTGCGAAATTAAGAATTCTTTGCTTTTATCACACATCAAAATATTCTATGATTACCGACATGGATGTGTTATGTTGGACACATCGATATGTGATTTTTCAAAAAATTATTGACATTATTACGTCATCGACATAATTAATTCTTTAAAATTCTTTATTTAAGGCAGTATGTCTATTAATAATCAAATTTATTATTGAAATGGGAAGGGAAAAAAAAAAAAGATATCACAAAAAATGCATTTCATTGCCAACATGCTGACATATAATGTGAATTTGTAAATTAGTTTGGTGCAACACAGAAGATACATAATCTAAAGGAAAATTCGCTAAAATTTTAGGATTAAGACAATGCCCCGTTTGGCCCCTATTCTTTCCAAATTTTCATGGTTGGAATAGTATTTTTTTGAAAAATATGTGGTTGAAAATAAGAGAGAGAAAAAGAATGAGAAAGAGAAAGAGAAAGGGGGCCAAACGGGGGCAATATGTCTAGCAACAATCAATATAGTTTTATTATTATTAAGAATGGGGAAAAAAAAACAACTAAGATATCACAAAAAATGCATATCATTGCCAATATGCTGGCATGTAATGTGAATTTGTAATTTGATGATACAATTTGAAGTTTACGACAAATTTAAATGGTAAGGTCACCTGTAATTAACATTGCTATACGTTAATAGTAGGTAAACAGTAATTTATAGTTGTAAAATGACTAGAGGATACACATTGATTAATGCAGTCAGACATACCATTTTTGTGGCAACAAATTACATACTACGGTGAAGCATCTTGGATGTGGTGGAAAACCCAAAAAACAAAATAAAAAATGTAATATTTTAAACAACAAAGGTGATCATGAAAACAATTCAAAGAACGATTTAAGCACGCAAATGCTAAAATTTGAGAACTTCGACTTGAAGTTGGAGCAAAATAGAAGTGATTGTGGAGCAATCTAGAGAGGAGAATCTTAGGGTATCATTGGTTCAAGTATCAAAGGGAAAAGAAAGAGAGAGAGAGAGTAAAATTATTTGGAATTTAGAAATAAATATGGGATTAGTTGATAGATTACTGTGGACAGCTGTCGGCATTTACTCAATGGTTGGAATCTTTAGTTGGATTTTGGCATTCAAGGGAGAGTGAGAGATAATTATTAGTATAACGGACACGTGATATTCAATGGATTATTTTTGAATAGATTGTTGATGAGTGGCATATTTGATTTATAAAAGGTGAATTATTAATGTCGATGACTAAGCCCCTGTTTGGATCCATTTTTCATCTAACACATTTTTTCATAACTCATTTTCAACTATACATTCTCCAATAAAATAATGTTAAACGTATTCCTATGGATCCATTTTTCATATAACACATTTTTTCGTAACTCATTTTCAACTATACATTTTCCCATAAAATAATGTTACACGTACTTCTAAACATTTCCCTTAGTTTTTAATCACACATGCTCTAACAAATCACTATTCTAAAATACATTTTTCAAAAAATTAATTTTAATGGAGCCCACACAAGGGCTAAAAATGAAGGGACAATTTAGATCAACTTAAGAGAAATTTATTGGAATGACTGTGTTTAATTTCTGGAATATCATAATTGAAAGGAAGAATTCACCATGATATACTTAACCCATGCATAATATTTAATATTTTTCCTTTTTTTTTTGGCTACCGAACTTGTTCAAATTCTAAGAGCTCGGGTTGAATAGATATTATTGAGTGAGGTTTTGAGAGGCTAAGCTCGGCCTTTCTAGTTGGGCCTCTACTTCATTATATAGGATTAAAGACTAGGGCTTGCCCGTGGAAAAGGAAGCACGAGCGTCCGACTTCGTATGAGAAAAGTTTTTGGCTTTGTCAGTATCCCTTTGTTAGTCCTTTTTTGAAGAATTTATCATGATTAATCTTCCAAACACGATGAAAAAGGTCCCCTCTGTCTTTTCAAGCTACAGTCGTTTCATTGGTCGAGAAGTTTGGCCAAGTTAGACAATAATGACAGCTAGGTCGTAGTATGTAATTTATGTTATCATTTCCTGCAATCTAGACAATTATTACTTCTGATTTGTGAGCATGACGGTGCTGACCTAGGGATGGCACCTTCTGATTGTTTCACGGGAGGTGCTAATATCGTAGGGCATCATTCCTTGTTTTCCAGGAATTATTAATCAAGCCTCTTTTTATCACTTTGAAATGAGTCCACACTCCGTCCGATTTGACCTCTTGAGAACGGACACCGACAATTACTATAAGCCATAAAAGGCAAAAATGGCAAAAAAAAAAGAGCTGCAAGTTAGGATTAAGAATGATGCACTACTAAATTGAATCCTATGTGAATTAATGCTGATGTGTAGTAAAAGGAAGTAAATGAGGCTTTCCAGCTTAGCATCCAGTTGACCCTTGCTTGAATAGCATTATGCACATGGTTGTTAGTTAGCCCCCGTTTGACCCCCATTTTTCCAAATTAAAATGGGTGGAATATTATTATTATTATTTTATTATTATAATTTTTTTAAATGAGTGGTTGAAAATGAAGGAAAAGTTTTCTGTTTACGTGTAATATTATTTTATGGAAGATTGTGTGATTGAAAATAGGAGGTGGAAAAATAAAATTTAATTTTATGGTGGTTAAATGGGGGCTTAATTTGTTTATATAAAATTCTCCTCGTCCTCTCTCTAGCTTTGCTAGTGCAATAATCGAGAAGAAAAGGTACAACCGAAGGACACATTATGGCTTCATGCTTATTTCTCTATCTATGAAGCAAATTTTAGGTATCATTTCTATAGTTCTCATTTTGAGAAGTGCATTGCATAACACATTTGAATACCTAGTCTACTTATGAATGAATAATTTTCGCCTACTCATGTCCAATTTCTGGCTGCAACTATGTTTTTAAATGCCAAAGCTATCTTGTATTTTTTATGCAGTTTCTGGAATGTGGGCCAAGAAAAATGCCGTTGGGAAAGAGGAAGTTGCAAAGTTGGTAGATGACACTTACAGGCAAGTCATATTGTTTGATTGCTCAAAAATTGCACCGAGAGACATGCGAATGCAAACGTCTTGTTTCATTAAAGCGCTTTTTTCCCCTTTTGCATTTTCTAGTTCAGTGGCATCACTTAGCTATGATTTATTGTTACTACAGAAGCCTTGAGCATGTCAATTTGATTTTTCTTAGGAAAGAGCAATAAACACTTAATGTCATGCATCCATTCAAATTCTACTACTTTCCATTGTTAACATCCAATTTTCCACTTCTGGATGTGCCATGCCCCAGTGTGGTCCTGTTTGAAAAGTCAAAACTATATTTCTTCACTTCCCATTTTGACCTCGCCTAAACAAAAGTCAGACCAAGAGAAAAGCGATTAGGTGGAGGGTTGTGGGAAGTAAAACTTGATACTATGCATAAAACAAATGTGATTTTCAGAAAAAAATGTATATTGCCCTAGGAGAGAGGGAGTATATTGTTTATCATCATTAGTTGGTCTCGTTGATGTTTATCTTTTGTTGTTGTTTTCAGAAAAATGCAGATATCTGGTGCAACTGATTTAGCATCTAAATCTGATAGCAGTAATGTAAAACTGAAAGAGGAACCTGAAGAACCTTATAAAATGGATAAAATTCGCTGCCTTTGTGGAAGCACACTACCAACTGATTCAATGATTAAGGTACACGTGTGCTAATCTTTTTGAGGACTTTTGGTATATTTCTTCCTCCTATCTAGGTATGATTATATGGTTCTCTGTCCATTATTCAGCTAATGGAAAAATGGAAAACTGCCTCTGATTGTTAGGTTTCTTGATGAGTCTGTAACTGTCACTTGCCTCACTATTGTGGTTTGCATGTCTTATTGCTGGAGGTGTGTATGTTTGTGTTTGTTGACTTATGCTTCCTTTGTCTGCATGTGGGGCAGCTCAAATATGTGGGGACAGGTTAGGGAGCGTGTATATGTGTGTGTTTGTGATAGCAGGGTGTGGGGACTATTGTGTGTGTGTAGTAGCCAGGGAGTCAGCCAGTTTCCTGATATATGGCCTTCACATGGTGGGGGGAGGGTCATGGTGACCCTGTTACCCCTCCCCGAGAGTTGACCTGTGGGTGGATCTACTTACCCCGTGTGCATGGTGAAATTGCAAAGTGGCTGGACTCACAAGTGTTGAAAGCGGGAAGGTAGGTCTGGGAAACCTTCAAGAAGGGGATTTTTCGTTCGGCTGCATGGAGTTGGAAGTACCACTTAGATTGCAGGCAGTCATATGCAAAGAATTGGAGTTGAACATTCCAATTCCAGATCCCCAATTCCCAAACTGGACAAGCCTATTGTTTATGAGATTAAAATCCTCCTAAAGATTGGTGGAATGGATTATATTAACAATGTTATCATTCTACCGGTTGAAGTAATAGTTATTTGAGTTTTTTCCCCTCTTAACTTCCTGATTGTTATATTTCTCCTTACAAAGAATTTGCATCTAAACATTTTTTTGATACGGTGCGACGCTTTTTATGTTCACTGTGAATTTCTTGGTGCAGTGTGAAGATCCAAGGTGCAATGTGTGGCAGCATATAGCATGTGTGGTGATCTCTGAGAAACCTGTGGAGGGTGTCCTACCAAATACCCCTGAGATTTTTTATTGTGAAATTTGTAGACTTCGTCGGGCAGATCCGTAAGTGAAATTTAAAGTTTTTTTCTGCCTCGTGCTTTATATTATTTGTTCATATAACATTCCACCGTTTTTGTGAGTGCTATAAATTGGCAGGTTTTATCTGTTTTTAGAGGATTATTGCTTAGTTATATTGCATTCAAATTTTTCTTTGTCAGGTTGATTATGTTAGATTTTCATGCTTGAGAAACTAATTCCTTGTACAAGTCTGTACTTTTATCTTCTATCCTTCCTGCCCAATGAATAGATAAAATGAAAAAAGAAAAATGATCCCAGTTTCTTAGGGTACTGAAAAAAATCTATATACGTGGTTTCCGTAGTCTCACACAACAATGACTATGATATCCGCCTTCATGAACACATGCATATGGTTCTCTGCAGTACCAGACAATGGTGATTGATGCCACGATGTGTACTGCTTATCCAGAAAAAGCAGATGATAAGCTGTGTGATTTTCTGGTTCAATTGTTAACTAGTTTCATGGTTTCCAGAAGTAATTGGTTCCGTAGTTCTCATTTTTATTTTTTCATGATGTTTTCTTTTATAACCTGTTGCTACTGTTATATATTAATTGTTTTTTCTTAATTTTTCTAAAATTTGAATCAAGAAAGTACATGGATGTTATCAACTAACAATAAATCAGTTAAAAAAAAAATAGTGAAAAAGTTATCTCTGCCCGTGGATCTATGTACACTCATTAATGAATCTTGCTTGAACTAGCGCTAAAACTGGATTGTTGCCCTACTATGCTTTGTGTAGATACTCAAGTGACATTCTGACATGCTTAGAATTAATTTATATTATCTTCAGAAAATTAAGATATTTTGATAATAACTTCTCGCTGTCTTTTGTTTATTTTAAATATGCAGCTTCTGGGTTACGGTGGCTCATCCTTCATATCCTGTGAAGTTGACTATTGCCAATGTTCCTTCAGATGGGTGAGTAAATAATATATTCCATGATTATCGACTATTGAACCTTTAACTCTGATGAGCATAGCCATCAGGGTATTCAGACTATCTGAACCTGAAGTTCTGGTTTGTTGATTGTATTCAAGCTCTTTTGAACTTGCTCACATTAGCTGAACTGTTCAAATAGCAATCTTATGTATAATGTAGGTTGTATATACTACCACTGTTGATCATACACCTGCTGGCTATGAGTTATTTTTTGGGGGTTTTCTGCGAACTGTATCCACAACATCAACGAATACAACTTTACTAGATCTTTGTTTGTCATTTCAGATATCATTGCCTTTTTATTGTTAAAGGGGCCTGCCTAGTCTTTTGTCTAAGCAGTCTAGTTGCCTAGGCTTTAAATTGCTGTTATTTTTATTTGTATTTGCTCTTTATTTAGACCTGTTAAAGATTTATGTGAAAATTAAGACATGTAGGCGTAGAGGCAAATATTTGCAAATCCAAGAGCAACCCTGGCAAATAAAATCTTAGCATCTCAAATAGACTCTCTTAATACAAGACGCTCTTCATTTTAGAGAGTTAATGTTTAAAAATAAGCTCCAAAATGCTCTCTATTTTAACTTTATAAAATAGATGGTGGGTTCCGCTCTCTATTCTTACCTTACCATGAATGCATATAATAAGTTACATATTTCAATACTTTACTTAAATCATTCAAATCATATTGAATTGATTGACTACTGATATATAGAGCATGCTTGTTTCTCATTTTCATAGTAAAAATGCATTTTGTAATAGTGATTGTCGAAAAATGTGTGGTTAAAAAATAATGAAAAGTTTTAGTTTTGCGTGTAATATTATTTTATTGAAGAGTGTATGGTTGAAAATAAGAGAGAAAAATGTATTTTGGAAAAAATGGGTACCAAACAAGGGCATAATATGTTAAATAAATGAACCCTAAGGGGAGCTCATTGGTCAAGACTTGGGTTTGCTCTCCAATGGTCATCAATTCTGGTCTTCTCAGGGCCACTGAGGTGAGTACTCGACTGTAAACTTCAATGTCTCGTGGAATTAGTCGAGGTACGCGTAAGTTGACTTGGATACCCACGGTCATTAAAAAATATATATATGTTAAATAAATGATAGAAGAAATCATAATTGTTTCTTGAAAAAGCAAACAATTGTACTACTGAAATTTAAAGGTGCTATCTATTATATACTAAGATCATTTTTATAAATAGAGTCTCATGGAGAAATTTGGAACCCACATTTGAAGCGTTATGAAAAAACTTCCTTGCAAAAATCCTATCCAAGTAAAAACCTCCAAGTATGCAAATCTACAGTGAAAACCTGATTATCTCCTTTCTTCTCTGTTTTGCACTTTTGTTTTACATTAAGAATGCATTTGAATGGGTGATGGTTTATTCTACTACTTGCGTCCATTTACTTCCAAAATTCTTTTAAGTTTGCCTTTTGCATTACTGCTCTTTCATATTACCTTTCTACCCGTTTTACCCAAGTATCCTTGTAATTGAGACAAGAAAGAGGTTCCAAGATGCAATTGCAACAGAAAAATCAAACTTTTATGCAGAGGAAACTGGTCTAGATCAATTAAAGCTCTAGTTTTGAAAAAACTGTGAAGAATTTTAAAGTGGGAGGCAAATTCTAGAGTTAAGGTATTGGTGATTCAGTTAAGGGAGATACTCCAGGAAGAGATGCAAGGTTTTCTTGGGGACATCTCTTTCTTCCCGACTTTCTGCCCTTTCTTCCCTTGTTTAGGGTTCTTTCTGTTTTTAGTTGAATCGAGTGACATTACTATGCCTAAAATAATAGACACATGTAATAAATAAGATTGCTTCATTTGGTTCAGTTTTTATTTTGGTTTATTGTTAAATGATTGTAATTAAAAATCTATTAATTAATTCTTAAAAAGCTGCTGGAATGCGAGTAAGTAGTAACAATCAGATTACTCTCCAAACCCGTTAAAGGCCAGTTGGGCTTTAAATTTCTGAGCCTTTTCAAACTGAAAAGGGTGGTTTTGTAGATGTGATGGTATATTTGTCTGCCTGAAGTGAACGACCATGCCACCAGAAGTCCATAGAAGTGTAGATGCCTGAAGAAATCAGATCTGGTGATGTAGCATGTCCATGTCCGTGTCCGTGTCCATGTCCGATACTCTTCGAACACTTTACCATAAACATTTTCGTTTTTTATTAAAAATATTATATATTTTTAACTTAAAGTTATTAGTAAGTAATAAATAGGTACTCATATTTAAGAGATTTTAACAAGAAACAATCAATAACAAGTATAAACTAAATTTTTACTATATAAATGAAGAATTTTAAAGAATTTAATCAATGTGTCGTGTCGGTACTTTTTGAAAAATTGCGTGTCGGCATATTCGACACCTATCGTGTCTGACACACGTGTCCGTATCGGTGCATCATAGCTCCCGTGTATATTGTTTGTTGGGTGATGACCGGTATGAGACTGCAAGGAATTGTTATGGTAGTGCCTCAAGTCTTAAAAATCTTTGTGGTGTGTTCAGACGAGACCTGATGGAAGATTTTGGTTGCTTCAAAGAGTTTTTTTTTTAATCCTGTGATTCTTGCTCTCAGGATTTTTGCAAAGGGTCATCGGAAGTATCTTCTTGAACTGCATGAAACTGTTAATGAAGGGCTGGAATAATAATCATGATTCTGGTTGGAAGGAAATCAAGATATTGAGCCTGTTTGCAGGGTTTCATTTTTGTTAATAGGAGTATAGAACCTGGACATTGTCGTTCAAAATATCCAAAGGAGAACTGACGAGGACAGTGATCCGGACTACATGGACAAGGAATCATAGATTGAAGTTAGAGCTCGATGTTAAAAGGCCTGGGAGTTTTGATAAATTATGATTAGAGACTATGAGAGAAAGTAACTGGCTGGATAGGGAATTGCGCTAGACGCTTTGAAGTATTTTCTGGCTTTGAAATTGTTATAATTGTCCATAGAGGGTGATACGGATAATTGTAAATAGATAGTATTGATTTTTCTTTTTGTTTTCAATTTTTGAAATTGTGAACGTGCTTTGCTTGCTTGCTCATTTTGAGTATTACTTGTCTTATTGGAGAAAAAGAGAACAGTTTCTCTTTGATGACTATATCCGTGGCAGGGATAATAACTACGTAACTTCGAAAAATGCAAACATTGACCTTTCCAGTATCGCTAGGTTTAGAATTTTATTTTGTTTTGTCTAGGTTCTTTGTCCTAGATATTTTGTCAGTATGTGCACAGTATCATGAGTGTGCATGCATGTCTACCTTCTTGCAAGTGTTCATCATGCATACATGTTCCATCTTCTAATGTACAATTGCAATTGTTGTAGCTTTGGTTTACATGTAATATTATTTTATTGAAGAATATGTAGTTGAAAAGAAAGGGAAAAATGCATTAAAATTAAAATGGAGCCCAAACAGTGGCTTAATGTGCTTCAAGCATATATCACTGGTGAAGTTTTCTTGATGTTTTCCTGGTTTTTCATTTGTTGGCCACATCTATTTCTTTCTGATATTCTTAATGTTTGTGAATTTATGTTATGAGAGTAATTATTTGACCGTTATTAACTAGAAAAAAATTTTAGAAGACGGTCTAACTTACTTCAGTGAATATACTATACTAACGGATCATTCGTTGCTTCCAAAAATTTAATGACATTCTAAGAAAGAAGCAAACAGAGGAAAGCAGGGAAGAATGTGGTACTTGAAAGACCAAGGCGGGTACTTTTAATGAGCTCTTCATGACAATGGATGTTGACTTGAACATTTTTAGTCCCAACGTACTGCGGACAAGCCAAATGATGTTATAATCCGCTGTATACATGCATACATTTCACACAAGTGCTTGTTTGATACCTCTTTAATTTATTAACATAATCACCCGGACCTGCTTTTCATCTACACATTTTGTGGGACCACAAGTAATGCTACTTATCCACCACTCATTCTATCTATTTATAAATTAAACAGATTATAAACTATTCCAACTAGAGCTAATGTACTGCCAAGATTAATTCATTGTAATGATGTGTCCGGGATAATGTGATCTGGTAGTCCTGGAATGATGTCTTCCTCTAAATAATGTGGTGGCGAGATTAACCAATCCAGTAGTTATCTTCGTGGGAAGGATTGTGGGCCAGAAATAAGGGTGCTGAAGGGAAAGTGCAGAGGGACTATGCTTCGGACGAGGCATTGTCAGCGTCAGATGTTAAGTGGGGAGCTGAAAGAGATGCATTTGGTAAATTGATGATGACACATTGAGGAGGACTGAGGAACATAAGCTATCTGCGGTTTCATTTTATCAATCCTGCCTTTGGCAGTCATCTACACGAATATAGAAGATAGGGAGTGGACTTGTGAGGGTTACGAGCAGAGGAAACTTGGAAGCAATTGGGAGAATTTTATGAAATGTAGAGAACTTAATGAAGAAGCAGCAAAAAAGCGATTATGAGCCGCTTGAAAGGATAGGAATATGAAATGACAAGAAAATAACTTTGAGAAGAAAATATTGGTTTAAAATCAGATGAAGAACTGGAGAGACTTTGATTGTTTGGCAATGTATAAATTTGGCTAAAGCCAAAAAAGAGCTTCTATGTTGTTTGTGGATGAGGATATGGTAAGTAGGAATCTGTTTTCAGTGAGTGCTGTTTTTGGTTCTTTACTTTTGTCCTTTTGAACTTGCATAGGATGATCTTTTATGATAAGTTTAGCTTTACTGGTTGTCATTGAGTATTGGTGCTTAATCTTCTTGGAGTTCCCAAGCATATTTTATACATGTCGAGAAAGCGCCAAAGATGAAGGTTCCCAAAATCCATTGATTCTACGAATACCCAGGAATTTGTAAATTCAAGTTCAATTGATTCTGAGAAATATTGAAGTTGGATAGATTTTTGAGTGAGTTCTAAATTTCTATTCAATAAACACCCAAAACGACATAGCTCTGACTTGAGTTATATAGCAAATCCTAAGAAAAATCTGATCTTGCAAAGGATGTAGTGGTTCCAAGATGATCAAAGTGCAGAAAATATAATAGATAAATAACAATGAAGAATCTAACATGAAATGCCACCTCTCCCCCACCAAATAATCTCTTTGACTTTTCAAAAAATTAAAAAAAGAGTTTTAGCCCTTTATTTCTGTTTATGCCAGAGCTATTCTTCCGGTGTCTTCGTTTATTTGCATGTTGTGCTTACTTTATTCAGTATTAAGCTAGGATATTGTGTTTAGTAATTTCTATAGTATTGTAAAATGTTGTGTAGTGTTTGGAATTTGTAAGCTTGTTTTTATTTTGTACTTCTCAAGGTTCTCAACATGATTCCCAAAGAGTCTGAAGGTGAGCGTTTTGAGGATGCACTTGCTCGCGTTCGTCGTTGTGTTGGTGGTGGGGCTGCCACTGAAAATGCTGAAAATGCTGACAGTGACAGTGATATTGAAGTTGTTGCAGATTTCATTCCTGTCAATCTTCGTTGTCCTGTAAGCAGTGTTAAAATTTTTATATTCAAATAATTGGGCATTTTATATGGACACACTATAATGTGAGATTAGTTGTGATGCCTGCATTACAATCTCCATTAATGTCTATAATCATAACCCCTTCTGTATTACTTTGTTCTGGCATTCCGGAACTTTGATTTGGAAACAGAATGACACACTTGTTTGTGCGCTAGAAGTTAAAAGCCTAATCAAAGATTAGGTCTGGATCTGGCTCCCAGTCAGTCTCCGTAATAGCAGCAATAACCTCATTCGTTCTAATATTTATATTGGTCCGATGTTGGTTCTCAAATGCCATTTCAAAGTCTTGCCTTCTTTTTAGTTTGAACCCCAGATATGAGGGGGTTTGTAATTATGATTAGTTTCTTTAGGACTGCTCTGTTTCCAGGTTTTTCCAACTAGTATTATGTTGGAACTGATTTCTATTCTTATGCTTGCATGATTCAGATGAGTGGATTAAGAATGAAGGTTGCTGGAAGATTTGAGCCCTGTGTACATATGGGCTGTTTTGATCTTGAAGTTTTTGTGGAAATGAATCAAAGGTCTAGGAAGGCAAGTAAAAATGATGAACATTATATGTTTCCGCTTTCTTTCAAATAGTGTAAATCAATGCAATTGATAGACCTTACATCAGACACAATTTTTTTTTGGTCAAACCAATTCATTTTTTTCAATATCTCTACATGGATGCAGTGGCAATGCCCTATTTGTCTCAAGAATTATTCTCTGGAGAAAATCATTATAGATCCTTATTTCAATCGAATTATATCCAAGGTATTGCTTATGTCTCGTGGTGTTTATCTAACTCCTTACCCCACCCCCAGCAATATATGCATGCGAATATCGCTTTTCTTGGTTATAATTTGTAGATAAAAAATTGTGGAGAAGATGTGAATGAGATTGAGGTTAAGCCCGACGGTTCCTGGCGTGCGAAGACGGAAGGTGACCGTAGGGTTCTTGGGGAACTTGGGCTGTGGCACTTGCCTGATGGTAGTCTCTGTCCCCCCATGGAGGGAGAATCTAAACCCAAACCAGAATTTCCTGAAAAGATTAAGAAGGAAGGTGGTTCTGATAGCCATGCTGGTTTAAAACTAGAAATGAAGAAAAACCGAAACGGTTGCTGGGAATTAAATAAATCTGATGATATGCTGAAACTATCGTCCGCCAATAGATTACCGGAACATTTTGAAAACAACGTCCATAATATAATTCCTATGAGCAGCAGTGCTACTGGCAGTGGTAGAGATGGTGAAGATGCTAGTGTCAATCAGGATGGAGTAGAAAACATTGATTTTGTCACAAGCCACGGCATTGAACTGGAGTCAATTTCCCTTTCTATTGACCCAAGCTATGAATTTAATGAGCAAAATCCACCTGCACCTCTTGGGGAAGTAATTATCCTCAGCGATTCAGAAGAAGAAAATGAGCCACTAATTTCTTCTGGAGCAATCTACAAGGACCACCTCATGGACAATGGTGGAACCACTTTTTCTGTTTCCCAGCAAGGAATTCCTGGTTCTTATCCGGAAAATCCTGCTGCCTTTGGTAATGGTATTGGTCTTTTCAATGCTCACGATGATGATTTTGGGATGCATATGTGGCCTTTGCCTTCTTGTAGTCAAGAAGCCCCAGGTTTTCAGTTGTTTGGTTCAGATGCAGATGTAACAGATGCCTTGGTTGATGTGCAGCATGGTTCTATCAATTGTCCGACTTCGGTTAGTGGGTACACATTGACTGCAGAGACTGCCATGGGATCCGCTGCCCTTGTTCCCGAGTCATCTGTTAAACATACTAATGTAAATGATGGCTTAGTTGATAACCCTTTGCCATTTAGTGGTAATGATCCTTCGCTTCAAATATTTCTTCCCACAAGGCCGTCTGATGCATCAACACAGGTTGATATGAGAGATCTTCCAGATGTTTCAAATGGTATTCGTAGTGAGGATTGGATTTCTCTCAGGCTTGGCGGTGGCAGTGGAGGGGGTCATAGTGAGTCTGTAGCTTCAAATGTTTTAAGCTCCAGGAATCAATTACAATCCAATAATGGTGCCTTGGATTCATTGGCAGACACAGGTACGTGATGTTGTGTTCTCTTCTACCTTAATATTTGCTCATTTTTCCAAATTTCTTTTTGAAACCACCATAAATTTCGTCTGCGTTTACGAGATTATTTTTATTTCCACGTGGCTTCATAATGGTTTAAAAGCTAGGCAAAATATATAAAACCTGCCATATGGCTTGACCAAATGAGAACTGAACTGCATGACATCTTCTTATTGGTAGTTTGGCGGTGTGAACATTTTCTCATTCCTTCACCTTTCCTAGAAGATCTTTTCCAACAACGTTCAAATCTACAAATGTTCATATATGTCAAATACGATTCTTCACACTTTCTAATACTACCCTTTTTATTTTTATTGCAGCTTCTTTACTTCTTGGTATGAATGATAACAAGTCTGTTAAGACGAGTAGGGAAATATCTGATAGTCCTTTTTCGTTTCCTCGACAAAGGCGTTCTGTAAGACCAAGATTATACCTTTCTATTGACTCGGACTCTGAGTGAAGCTGTTCGCAACCATATTTGGAGGACATCACTCAGTAATAAAATGTTACAATACCAGATGCATCTCGTTTGAAGAAGTCTCCCAGAAGGTTTTGGGGATTTGTTATTGCTACCTAGTTGATCTGTTTTTGGCAAAAAGGTAATTTTCAGATACCGATAGGGACTCCGTGTGCTGCCACCTGGAGCATTACTTTTGATTGATGAGCAGTTTTTAACTCTGTTCAATTTATCGGAGTTAGTTCCCCGCAATTTCTAGTATCTTTTGACTTCATTATCATGGATCTGCCCTTCTAGTAGGTCAGAGGCAAAATCTTTTTCTTCTCTTTTCTTGAATGACCTGCAGGTGTCTTTCTGGTTGATTGTACATTTGGAAGTCGTTTTATTTGAAAAATGTCAAAAAAAGTTAAAAAATTTAAAATTTTATTGGTATTATTTTCTAGGTGTAGTTAGCAGGCTTTTGAAGAGGAGAAACGTTTCGGTTTTGCTCAATGGCCTGTAAATGCCTCACCTTCAGTTTCAGCGACTTGTATACCAACTTAAATTATGTATATACATATTTTGGAGTTTGATTATTTCACAATATTTATATTGATGATCCTATTATAATTCATTTATGCTGCAGAAATCTGCATTTATCTGTACTTGATTTGGAATTTTGACATGCTAGATGTGTGTGTGTGTGTGTGTGTGTATATTAGGATTGGAATTCCGGTCTATAATGAGATGTTGCTCGGAATGGATAGCTGCTACTGCATCTTTATGAAGGTGCAGTCGAACTCTCGACTTGTCTATCAACTGGGGCACCTCGTAGGTTTTCTTGAAACGTATCATCAAATTTTTGCACTACCGATACCTCCCTCAACTTAGCTTCTTGATGTTGCATTCCCAAATTACTGACTAGGAAGCCCTGACCCGATCCATTCCTTAACATCTTCCGAGCCTTCAATGCTAAAATAATGTGTTTTAGGTTTAGTCTTTACTCTTTACTCCAAAGAAATTTCCCTGGAGCTTTAACAGGCGATGCATTCTCTAGACATCACATGGTGTGATTACATCTCAACCAATGCATGCCAATAATTATATCGATGTCTTTCGTGTTTATTATGAACAGGTTTGCCCGCAAACTATCAATCCTCCTCAATTTCCTTTTAAACGGACTTAGCTATCTCATTTGTCTTGTTCTCAACCTAACACTGTTAGGGGAATGTTAAACCTCTAGTAAACTATCAGGATTATCACATACTTTTATGGCCAATCACTCACAAACCAAGCTCAGCTTTGGTTAGCCCCTCCCATTTTTTGTTTTGCACGTCAATGTTGATGTTGATCGAAGCTACCCCTTTTCTCATGGCCAATTCTGTGATTGACTAAAGCTGTGGGAGAGAATCTTGTTCAAATCCATGAATACGTGTAATACCATTTGAGATTACTCGATCAATCTCTCCCACTAGAAAATACTCTCCCTTTTTCAATATATTAAACTGTAAATTGCTATTGTGTCCGTAAATTGCTTCATTAATAATTTGAATTTATGAACAAAATTGTAACCGTGTTGAAATTTGGCCTATAACAAACATTAAAGAGCACGTCACCTCGATACAATGGAGAATTTACCTTATAATGCAAAACAGTAATTATAAAAATTATAATTTATACAAACTTCTTTAAACTAATCTTATATCCTCGAGCAACCTTTACCTTTTGAGCCCCATCATCTTCTCCTCACCTCTTAATCCCTATCAGTTCCCCCGGCATAAATTCTCTAGCGTGTAAATTCACAAGCTCGATAGATGTGATCGCAAAGCAACTAAGAGAGCCTAAACAATGTGTCATAACCTTCCTTTTCCTCCGATTTCTTGCATACACGAAACAGGCTGTTAAAGGAAGAGGTCAGTGGAAATGACTTCTATATGAAGAAACAGAGATTCAACAGAAAAATTGATCAAAGCACCATAAACTTTATGGATATTCCAGGTCTAAATAAACTTAAGCTGATCCATGACAATCTTGTGATTTATTATTTAGTCCAAGAATAGAGAATCACATAGAACTTAGACTTCACACCCAATCTATAATACTTTGACATTTTTTTTTTGCGGGTACAAGGTTGAAACAATAAAAAAAAAAATTGCGGGACAACCACTTCTCCTGATGAACCATGAGAGTCATATCATTCTAGTACCATTATTCAGGGGAAAACAATTTCATTGCTGTCATCTGTCCTCACTATTGAGACTTCGAATGTATGAAGCTTTCACAGCCAGGGCAATTGTGCAAGCTCTCATGAATGTAAATGTCACAGTCGAGACAAAAATGTTGTTTGCATTTAGGACAAGCAACAGATGGACCTGGCAAATTTCCTGCATCAACATAAACTAGGTCAACGTGGGAAAGAAGCTAACACAAAATTTGTATCTACGGTACGTGCAAACAAGCAAATTTTCAAATTCTAACAAGAATCCACGATCCTAAGCTAGTGGCTTCATAACTTCCAGCACATACAATGATTGCCTTTAAACAGGCGCTTCTCGCAAGAGCTAGCACAGAGTATTAGGTGAGAATATAATTCATTTCTAGAAAATGGTCAGTAACATGGCTTAACATATTCCAGTGCCAAAGACAGCTTAAAGTGATTTTATAAGTCCTGTAGAGGAACCAAAACAGTCCGCTAAAATAAAAAATAAGTAAACGGCTGAAAGGTTATTACGATGAAACGTGTGAGAGATATCTTGACATTGATTCACTAAAGCGAAGTTACTTAATTAGACAGTAACATGACAAATGAATTTGTTATCTGGTGCATAAACCAGTATGTTTTTTAATGCTTTTCCCATGTCAAGTAGATTAGAGAGAGTTGGCTGGTTCTATATCCCCCTTACAGAAAGGAGGCTCAGTGACTGGTGTGGAACCATCAATGCCCAAAATGGCCACAAGGAGCATATATAGTATCTTCTAGCAGATTTATCATATAGTTTTTGATGTAGAATATGATTTGGAGACAAGACAGCATTTGGAAATGGGGACTACATATGAATCTATCAAATGCGCCTTCCTACATAATTGCATAGACAAATAGTCTACACCAAAAGCTAATGTACACACACACACACACAAATATATAAAAATGATGATGACTTCAATTCTGGGTTCTTAGAGAAGATACCATTGAAGAAGTTAGTCTAAAAATCTATCATCCAGGAACATAAGAGTTCAAAAGTGAATTAGACATATCTAATGTGATATATGTCTCCCTTTCAAGGTAGGTAAAAGGAGAATAAGGTATAATGTTTCTTTCATTTCTGAAAGATAATCCTTACATTGGTAAGGAAAACATCTGGAAGGAGAATTTAAAATAAATCTAGTCAGGGAAAGACATTATTCTAAGACGTCCAGAAAAGGAGGGCAGGAAATTGAATATAAGGTGGAGGTATCAGGTATATGTTCAAACATGAATATATTATTTTGATCGTCAAGGAATGACAGATTGTAACCAATTCATTTTTGGCCTCTATCACAGCTTGAGAAGGGGCAGAGCTTTTTTGCTTTGTTATTATCACCACTAAAATGCATCACTGAAGTGAAAGATGCTAGTATGAAATTATCCATAGGTAGGAATGCAATCTGGGAGAAATATAGATGACAGACAAAATTTGAGGTCAGCTATGTTACATGGAAACAAGGTAATGTTATCCAACCACAAACATGCTCACAGGTTGATAACAATGGAAACCAAAGAAGATATTAGATATCTGTAGCTGGAAAAAAGAGGCACATGTTGTGAGCAGCTCAATGCCAAAACATAATGTTAATTCTATCGTAGGCCATTCTAAAGAACATGGAGGGGAAAAAAAAAAAAAGATACATGTCAATGTGTCTATAACCTACTCATCTCGTATCATGATTACATACAACAGAAACAACAATCTCTTACCAGGAGCTAGGAGACTTTGTTGGCAACCAAAACAATTTTTTGGCACTTTGTGTGGATCACTAGATACTGCTACATCATCAAACGGTGTAATAGGAAATAGATGATGATATGATCTTGCCAAATGGGGTGAGGAAACAAGGGTCAGTCCACATATACAACATTCCGTAGGCAACTCACAAACACGTGCTTTGCATCTTGGACAAGTGTAGCCTCCACCAACCTTGGCCTCTTTATGACACGAACAGATTGAGATAACACCTTCTGCTGCTCTTTGTGGAAAACCCATCTTGATCAAATTTGAGATTGCAAATTCTGCTATGGCTGGAGGTGGTGGTGCGTGCTCGAGCACTAATTCTTTTAAATGAGGCTGTCAAGAAAGATGTATTACACTATGTACTTACACCGACTTTTTATAACTCATCAGAATGGAAATTTTTAAGGATTATTTACTATTTATACGATAGAATATATCTCACAAACATTATTCTAAAAATTGCAACTCACCTCATCCAAGGAAACAGAGTACGATCCACCAGTTTCTAGGCAAAGATATTTGCATATGTAGAGCTCAGCAGAGAGACCAATTACCGAGCACCTAATCTTAGATGACTTGCACTTTTGGATTGTTTCCATTATATCACCTGGATCACAAGTGCTAAGAGCGGAGTACAGCATAAGGACTTCACGGTGACCATATGATGGGATTTGATTGAGAAGGCTGTGTACGAGATCTAAGCCATTTTGCAGGGAGGCATCACCTGAGCACACCAACTTACCCATCAATGCTTTGATATGAGACTCAGGACTGCCACCAAGCTCTGTTAGGCAATGAGCAACCCCATCTTTTAAGGTTAACAGACCAATTTGACTCAAAGGATTTTGGTCAAAGAACTCCCTGATGAAAGCCTCAACTTGTCGAGCAACCACGACCATTCGGTTTGGTTTATAGTCTGTCTCTGTAGCTGCCTGCATGTCAGAATACATATTAATCCATTTGTTAATCTCCGTCTTCATTCTTACGCTATACATTTAGTCATAGCAACTTATTTATCTAAAACCTTCATTTTTGCTATGTCCATCTTAATGACATTGTTCTACAGAGCGAGGCTATCAATTCCATAAAGTAAACTCATCCAGAAACCGTTTCACAAAATTAAAGATTTTAACTCAGTAGGTATCGTCCAATCACATAAATCACTGTAACACATCTACATATAGTCTAACTCTATTAACAATTGACTCTACATACCCAAAACAATTGCTCATGGGAATAATATAATTCTCTACTATGATTTCATTATCATCTTCATTACTACTGCAACTAAAAAAAAACATGATCCTCAATTACATAGTACACTAATTCTACTTAAAGTAAAACCTTAAGACTTTTTCCTAAAATTTGCTTATATATGCCGAGGCAGAAGAGCTCAGTAACATTTGTGTTTGAACAGAAGAGCTCGGCAGCACGTGTGTTTAGTAGAAGAATTATATTAAATTTTCTGAACCATTTAAAAATAAGAAATCGATTGCACTAGATCAGCAAGACAAGCTTTAACAACCAGACAGACCCATAAAGGGTCAGGAACATGTATCTATATGCCAACACTATAGTCCTACATCTAGAAGGCCTTCAGTTAAAATCAACACGCAAGAACATTTATACATGGATATATACAGGAAATATTTGACACACACAGAACAATTTCACCTAAAATACGATAAGGGAAAACAATTCAGAAATTTAGAGGAAATAACATAAAAGTCGAATAAAAAAGCTCATTTATTTAAGTATTCAAGAACTCCTCAGGGAGATATTCATCCCGTCTTGTTTAAGAGAAATATGTTCTTGATCCAATCATAAATAGGTCATCAAGTTTAACACAACCCATTTACAAGAAGCTAATTGCATCTTTCCATATAAGAACGACCGTTTACATACCCGGGAGAGATCGATGACAATGTATAGATAGCGAATAAGGCCCTTCTGAATTCGAGCAGCAGTTGCAGTGCGAAGGCGTCGACGATACTGAGCATGGTAGAGGGTTTTGTTGTCAATAGGGCGAAGGAGTCCAGATTCATCCTCCTGCAGAGCCTCCCAAGATCTCTCATCTGCATAAGTTCTTTCCCACGCATCATGACCCCTATCATTTTCCTCCTCCTCCTCGTCCTCTTCATCTCTATTAAGTCGTCTCTCTTCACCATTAGTCTCTTTGCGTAACATATTGCTCACTCTTCTCAATGAAAACAAATAATCAGTTCATCAGAGGAAAATATGATTTTTTTTAGAAAGTGACTATGAAGCCAGTGGTGTTGATTTTTTCATCGATACACATACATACACACAGGGCGAAGAAATTACAAATCATAAAATATGTAGACAGTTCAGTTAACAAGAATGTATAACTACAGATCATCTTTACTCACTTCACCCTTCAAATAATTTTTTTCCCCTACTTTACCCGTATTAATTTGGGGCTTTTTGTTAAAAAAAGTCCATTCAAACAATTTATTTGGTTAAATAACCTAATTTCAATGTTTGTTGATAGGGCTCCCGAACCGAACCGATGGAACCCGAATCAGAACCTGACGGTTCTTGTCAAATTAAATATCCGAATGGGTATTTGAATTGATCCGTCGGTTCTCGGTTCTATACCAAGAATCGAATCTTTCTAACTTTTTTTTTATTGAATAAATCAAATGTTTTTAATTTTAATTTTTTTTCCAAACAAATTAACAATTTCTAAATTCAAATTTTTGGCACAATAATTGTTTCATTTCTAATTTTTTAGCTTTTGGCCCAACCCATTTTATTGTTTGATTTCTAATTTTTGGCCCAACAATCAACATGATCCAACCCAAGTCCAACTAAATAACCCTAAACATTAAAGTGTAAACTAAGGCTACAACTACAAGCATAAGTGCATAACTTCCTTGTCTACGGCTCAGGCTCTTGATATACTCACTCTCGCAATCCCAGAAAACCCATACAATCGTCGACCCGGAGTTCTCAAACAGTCCGACCCTCCCCACTCGAGGCTCCGACGAGTTTCGAACTTTCGTTCTCTGCCTTTCAGAGTTCAAATTTTGGTGAGTTCTTTCACGTTGCCGTTCGTTTTCACTTTTCACTACTTCTGTGAGTGGGATGATTTTTTCGAACCAAAATATTTTATGTTCTTTAGCAGGTATCTGATCATTGTTTGTGCATGAGCAGTAACAATATATTTTATTTAAATACAGTCCAGTTTGTTTTGCTGAGATAGAGCAATATATCTTAGTGAGTATTGGAAGGGCTTCACCATTGAAATGGGATGATACTGAGAGATGGATTAAGAGCCCGATCACATGGTGCATTTAGGAATTCGATTATGCAGCCAAAAAGGCAGTTGAGGTCGAACAGTTGCTACATATGATTGGAGTTTTGGTGCCTAATGGTTTGTCCATAGGTTATGACAAAAATCGAACTCTGCGAATCCTTCGAGAAGTATGGCTCGGTTGACTAGTATGTAGGGATTTCTGGACATGTTTAGTAATTCTTAATTGTCGGGTTCAAGGAACTTGACAGAAGGCAAAGAGAGAAAGTCGAAATTATTGCTTGGGAGAACTCGCAGTAGGCAAAAGCTGAACTGCAATTCGAAAACTGGAGGTTCAAATAACATCACCAAAATTTAATCAAAAGCCAAATGTCATTGTTTAATCAAAAGCCCTTCCAATACTCACTGGCATAAAGCAATATATCTTAGTTAGCAGTGTTTTCCAGAATATTTTGCTGGTTTCTCTCTATTCATTAATAGTGTTTGATGATTTTGTTCCACATTGTTTGTGTAGGATTTAATCAAGTTTCTTATTAAGGTAATACCAATTTTGGATGCCCAAATGGGAGACAAAAAGCAGCCTAATGAGAGGTCAGAAATATGGAATCATTTCACTAAAATACTTGGTGGAGAAAAAGAGCAAAATGTAACTACTGTGGGAGAACATTTAAGGTTGATACTAATAGTGGAACTTCTAGCATGTGGAAGCATTTAAAAACTTGTTATGCATATAAGAACACTAAAATTGATGAAAACCAACCACTACTTACTCGAGAAAACAATGATGGTGGTATTATTCCTATGGTGTTTAATAAAGAAATGTGTAGAAAAGCATTGGTTAAGATGATTAGTATTGATGAATTGGCTTTTTCCTTTGTGGAAGGTGTGGGTTTTAAGGAATTTGTTCGTCAACTTTGCCTTAGATTTGAGGTTCCTTCTCGAAGAGCGATTACTAGAAATGTGCTACATCTCTACCATGAAACAAAGGAATCATTGAGGATTAAATTTATTAAGGATAGGCAAATGATTTCTTTAACCACTGATTGTTAGACATCGATTCACAACATCAATGATATGGTAGTCACAGCACACTTTATTGATAGAAGTTGGAAATTGCATAAGAGGATATTGAGTTTTTCTGTGGTTCCAAATCATAAAGGGGAGACAATTGGGAAGATTATTGAGACGTGTCTATTTGATTGGGGAATAGAATGTGTGGGTACCATTATTTTAGATAATGCAAACACAAATGATGCAGCGATTGTTTATGTGAAAAACAAGTTGAAGAATTGGAAACCTGATGATATTACGATTTTAGGTGGCTCTTATCTGCATGTACGTTGTTCAGCATACATAGTCAATTTGATTGATAAAGAAGGGTTGAAAGAGTTTAATCCATCTATAGATAGTGTTCGCAATGCGGTAAAATATTTTTGATCATCTCTTTCCCGGTTGACAAAATTTAAATGTTGTATTGAAAGGGAAAAGATTGCATGCACAAAACTTGCTATTTTAAATGTTCCTACTAGATGGAATTCAACATTCTTAATGTTGGATAGTACATTGAATTTTGAAAAAGCTTTTGAAAGAATGGAGGAAGAGGACAGATTCTATTGTAAATATTTTGATTAAATGAAGGTGGAAAAGAAAAAGAGGGGCCACCTACAAGTTATGATTGGGAGAAAGTTAGAAAATTTGTCAAGTTTCTAAGAACATTTTATGATGTCATATTGAAGTTTAGTGCTTCATTGAGTGTTACTTCCAATATTTACTTCCATGAAGTTTGTAAAATTGAGTAAATTTTGAAGAAAATGGGTGAGAAGCAAGATTATTTGCTAAGTAGTATAGCAAATAGCATGAAGATTAAGTTTGACAAGTATTGGGGTAAAGTTGATAAAATGAATAAGATTTTGATTGTAGCAGTCGTGCTTGATCCTAGGTATAAGTTGGAGTTTGTTGTACATTGCATTGGTATTTTGTATGACAGTGTTAAAGTTGAAGCCACAAAAAATGAGTTCATGAAATTATTGTATGCTTTATATAACCAACAAAAGGGATGGCATCGTTCAAACAAAGGACCGAGTGGAAGCGGAAGTGGGGGTGATGAATCTAATGATGTAGTCACTTTGTTGGAGGACTTGAATGATGATGATGATTGGGATGATTGCAATTTTGATTTTGGGTACAAGAAATTGAAAACTACGAAAATGGATTTTTCTGGAAAAGATGAGGTACAACGATATCTAATGGAATCCACTGAAGATGCTAGTGATGAAAATTTTGACATATTGAAATGGTGGAAGATCAATAAATCAAGATTTGAAATTTTATCTGAGGTTGCAAGGGATGTTCTTGCCATTCCTGTATCTACAGTTGCTTCTGAGTCAGCATTTAGTACTGGAGGACGCATTATTGATCCATTTAGGAGTTCTTTAACTCCTAAAACAGTTGATGCCTTGATTTGTACACAAAATTGGTTAAGGGAAGAATCTAGACTTTTGAAAATTTCCCAAGATAGAGTTTGCATTGAAGAGACGAAGTTCTATGAGAGCATTGAGACATGTAATAATATATATATACACGCACTATTAAATCTGATTAGTTGAACAAACTTGAATTTATTTATGATTGTTAATAAATTAATTGTGCTTTTTCAATTTTTTCTGTAGAGTTTCTTAATAGTGAGTATGACAAGTCAAGCAAATGATGGATAGTTGAAGTTTTAGTATTAGTATCTACTCTTTGGTATTTGTAAATTGTAAACATCGATAAATTAATGTTGTTGGACAACTTGTTATTTACATGTTATTAAATTTGACTATGTTAATTTGTAAAACTACGATTAAATGTCTAATTAGTTGTATTTATATAGTATTTTTATAAATATTAAAAAATTTAATTATAGTACGGAACCGAACCGATCCGAATTCGAACGGTTCCATAATTATATTTGGACCCGACAGTTCCATTTACTAGATACCTGAAAATTTTGGTTTGGTTCGGTTCGATTCTAATGACCCGCGCCCACCTCTATTTGTTGGTCTAGCCCCTGTTTAGCCCCTATTATTTGGATTTATAATGGAAGGAATATTTTTTTTTTTAAAAATGGATGGTTGTAAAAATGGAAAATTTTTCGATTTGCGTTAAATATCATTTAATTAAAAATTGTGTGGCTGAAAATAGGAGAGTAAAAATTTAAATTAAATTGACGAGTTTTAAAGTGAGCCAAACAGGAGCATAATAACTGTTAATTACAAAATACAATAAACAAATAATTTCAGAAGTCCAAAATGCCATCACTATGAAAAAGACCCTTATATCCCTTTCAATCCATTCAAATTTCAAATTCCTCATTTCATCACCAAAAATCATCGGCTTGCTCTCCCTATATTTGTTACTATAAATTCTTGTTATTTATTACTCTACTCATCTTCTTCCATATTTTGAGTATTTGAACAAAATTTTAATTTTTTTTATACCATTTACATTAAAATTTCTACTATATTTGAAGAAGAAAAAAAGGTATTTTTAGAAATATCGTGTACATTGGTACTTTTATTGTTGAATATAGTATGAAATGATACTTTAGTTGATTTTTTATTATTATTATTATTATTATTATTATTATTATTATTATTATTATTATTATTATTATTATTTGCATTTGATGTATTTTGGCTATCCGCAACTATGAGACGATGACGACGCTCCAATCGTTATTTGTAGTGTAGAACAACACAGCAACCGCTATCATCCATGTAAAACGATAGTACAAGTATAAGTGTAATACATGTTCGAAAACTGGACATAACCACATCACTTGTACGAATCGTGTACCATTTAGCGAGAGACATGAACAATGAAGACAAAACAACACATCTGCTAGTTTTCGTGATTTATGATGTGCTGCTTTTGTAATATTGAGAAATGATGGTGGTGTTATGATGTTTTGCTTTTGTCATTTAGAAATGCAAACTATTTATAATGTTTGGAACGATTGATTTTGTCATTGTCTTAGAATCGATGAAACGATAACGGCAGACATACTATTATTTTGTTATTATAAAATATCACTGGTATCGTTTTAAATA